GTGATTACTCACCTCACAGGCTGTGAGGAGTAGTCACTGAATTTTATCCAGCACGACTCTGCGTGACGTCGGAGGCGGCAGGGTCGTGACTGGAATCATATAAACTCAAATAATAATAATGATAATATTAATAATAATGATTCGGCTCTATTGGCAGAGGTACATAGTAGGCGCAGTTTAGCCAAGAGTACAATTGGAGTGAACTTAAATGATGAATAGTATTTCGATAGCGATAGTTGAACAAAAAATGGTATTTTGAATGAAGAATTTGTATCATTTTTGAGAGTGTCCTTCAAGAATCTTGAGCATTCTGGCTCTGCTTGAATGAGTTTTTGAATAATGAAATATATTTGTGAAAGGACAGGACAAAACTCTTACAGTCGACTCCACCAAAGCTATACTTCATTGTGAGCAATCTTACATAGGAGTACTAAAGTGAGGGAGAGAAGAACAATGTCAGACAGACCCCTCAACAACGATAGGTCTAAAAAACTCACCTGTTCTGGAGGAAAGAAGTTATGTTTACATATTATTTATATTATTGAAAAATGTTTTGAGAAAAATTATGAAGAAGTTGAATGGGTACCGCAATTATTGCGGAACCCCTTTGTCAGGGAACTTCAAATATCATGTTAAGTAATATTGAGAGAAAATCGACAAAATTATCATCAGTTCATGCCGAACTCTTAAAAAGACAAGAAAAATGAAATGTCAAAAATCAAACATGAAACGAATTGCATTACTTTGTAAAAAATAATTATCCATTCATCAGTAGATATTTTGGCAATTTAGAAAACATACCAGTTGATGTATGCATTTTTTCTATTCTTCTTGAGGATCTGAGGGCCCTGGCGAGCAACCTGGAATAGATGAAGCTTGCTTCAGTTTATCGAAATTCACAATAGAAGTCCTATTTTGACCTATTTCGAGTTCAGCATTGTTTTGCATTGGTTATACGAATGATTTCATAGGGACCATTATACTTATTTTCCATTTTGTTTTCTATCTATGATTCTCGTAAATAATTATGATCTTCTTCTTTGTATTGCCGTTGATTCGGTCTTACATGTCGATCAAATCTGTCTTCAGATTTCTATTTCGACTGATTATTGTTAGATTTGACTCTTTCGAAAATGAAGAGAGCTGAATTTTTCATGTTATTAACATAATGTTTCATAATTATTATCATCTCTGATGTGACCAAAAATCATTTATTCAGGGGTGTACTTAGGTGAATTCAACTTGCTTCTATTATAAGATTTCATACAGAATAGAATTCCTCCTAAAATTGATTTATTTTGATGTTCTGAAAGATATGTTCGCGATGAATCTAAAATAAATGCGTGAAATTGTTCTGCTACTCCATTCAATTGAGTATGAGCGGCTGAACTATAAGTCATTTTGAATTGGTACAGTTTCGATAAATCTCTCATGCATTGATTATCACACTTCAAACCTGAATCTGAATCTATTGTTTTGAGGGTAGGACAGGGTTAAAAAAAATGTTTCAATGATTCTAATAGCTTGTTTGTTTTGATCTAAATGAGCTTGAGCAAATTTAGAACAATTGTCTACAATGAGTAAGTACCTAGTAGAAAATCATTACGAATAATGTCTAGTAAATCGATGTTCAAATGGTTTTACAGGAGTTTGAGTTATCACTAGAGGATAATCGGTATTTTTTCTGATTGTTTGCGTTTTGTTACAAACATCACAATTATTGTTTATGAAATCACGAAATGTCTCGTTGATACGTCCATGATTTGTAGTTTTACAAGTGTGATAATTTTCAAAAATTTGTTTCCTTTCATTTTCTGGAGGAACTTCATCAAAATAACGACAAAGTGAGAGTGATATTTTTCTTATCTTTCAAAATGAAGGAAATGGTATATGTTCCAATGGGTTCATAAAATAATTGACGTTTTCTACTTCTAGTGAATATTCGACAACAATCTCTCGAACTGATTGAATCAAATTTCATTGTAGACAATTGAATAAGATAATACTTCCGTTGTTCGAATCTGAAAATCTGTTTTGTCGTCAGAGTTTGTGAAAGATTTGATTGTTGATCATCAGGGTCAATGCAAGTGTCTTCCATGACTGTCAGCTAGTTGATTTCTGAATAAAGAAAGCTTCCAGAATCTACGAATATACGATTAGGACCGTACTTGAAATGACAAACTTCATGATGGTTTTATGAGTACAAAACGTCGTCCAGAGGAATCGATATCACCTCTTTGAATTTGATCAGAAGTTGCTATGCAAAATTACCCCCAGTTTTTCTGTGTCTATAATAATAACGTGGTAAAAAGATGAAATAGGGTGGTATGACCCTCTGAATGCGCAATTTTTTTCTCATTCAACTCAATTCGTATATCCTGTCGTTTCCGAAATCTTCATGCTGTTCAACCTCATATTGGTCGAACTGAATAAAAATATTTGTTAGGTTTTACGAAACAAACTATCACTGAGTAGGTATCACAACCAGTTCATTTGAGGGTTTGAATATCGAATGATCATTTATTTTGAGTTTCGATTTATAACCGGCTGTTTCATTTATGAGTACTGAAGTACCAGTACTTGAAAAGCAACGAACTGCGGGATCGCTTAGTATCTTATATATACATATACTATGTGCCGATTAGAATATCGAAAGAATTTGATGTATATTTTCTGAGCCATTCGAAAGTATTCTCCTAGAAAATCCGATGATTTTCCAATTCAATATTCTACATTTTACATCAACACAAGGTGATAGAGATCAGGGTGTTGACGTCATCGGCAACTTTTCTCAATGTGACACGCTGTAATTTGTCATACTCGAATTGATGATCTGAAAATATCTCAATAAATAGGGTGGTACATTGAAAAATCGACATGTTCCAGATTTTTCCGAGAAAGCTTTCAATTTAGGGAATATCAAATATATTCCATACTTCACCGACAGACTGCACAAGATGGGAAATGAATTCAATAAATTTGAGAAAGAGATCACAACTAGAAAGGCATAATTGATTCAATAATTGACCTCAATGTATGAATGTATAGTACTGAACCTTCCCAGCCAACACAAAGAGGTCCGAAAGATGTTTTGGCTACTTTCTTTCAGGAAATCATGACGCCTTTTGTTACTTCTTTAAGCAATTGCCGAGATCACTAATCTTGCTCCAAATGTTCGCCGCCGTGATAGACTCAACGAGGTCTAAGCGATATCAAGCGGAGAAATTCATATACAATTCCTTTAGGCGAGTTCTTTGGGAAATTCGCATACAGAAGCTTATTCCGAAAAGTTTGAGAGATTCGAATCAATTGCTACTGGCGAGATCCTCAAGTTTTTACAAAACCGGATTCGAACCGACAGTACTTTCGCATCGTGAACAGCTATCTAGAGATTTACATCAATCTCTACTCGCAACTACGAGTAAAACAAGAAATTCACGGGAAATGATCATCACGAACTGTTCAAGAAATTCTCATCTGGCAAGTTCCTCAAAATATCCCAGTTGGGACAATATTCTGGAGTAAGTACAGTGTTATTCACGATAAGAATCAAAAATACAAAAATATATCGAAGGCCACACCACAGGCACTTCTAGAGAAAGGCTATACAACTTACTTGAGCAGGTAGCGATTCTCTCATCGAGAGGTATCACGTTTCGGTATCTAGTACCAGGAATACCTTGATTCAAATGGTTCACAAATTGATTTCAAACTCTAGTTATTATTTATTTATTACCCTGAAAATATCGCGAACATTTCCAGATGATGCGAAGTTATCATGGATTTTGGTAGGACCTATTTATTGGATGCCAGCAGTCGGCTGTCGGCCAAATGTTTTGATTTCTGTTAAGATGAATTTACCCTTTCTTGGTACGTAGTTGTGTGATGGTAATTGATCAACTACAGAAGATCATGCGTCAAAAGTCAGAAACAAGATTACTCTCTGTATCTACAGTAACTGTACGCCTTCAAAAAGAAGTCCAGAATACATATTTCTCTATATATATATGAGCGAGAAATCTAGGAAGGTCTCCTCATTTTTTTTCAGATTAGTGGAAATACCCAGTAAGAAGTATTGAAATAACTTTCATCGTCGTGATGAACTTCATCGCCTTGTATAGCTCCTCTAGAAACCCTGCCATATGGCAACGCTAGTCAGGAAAAAACTATCTCCCAAAATATTGCAAGTTATGAAGCATAAGTACAATGTAGGAAAAACACATAATGAACATATCAAAATCAGCCGAATATATCCTGATTGAAAATGGACAACATATGATGGAGGGGAATGGAATGACAATCATTGGATGAGAAGATGAAGAAGAGCAAGCAAAAAAAGAATCCGAATAATATGCTTGATATTTGCTGACATCGCTTCTTGTTCATCGGTTGGAGTTAGAATATTGTATCAACTTCAACGAACACGAAGACATCATTTTCAATAAATCTTCTACATTTCGTTCTGAAACCATAAAAAGATTCGTTCCTGAAACGTCCAAAGTTATTCTCATTGTTATTTCGTCATCTATATTCCCGTCCTCTAAACATTTTTTGAACAAGCAATAACTGACTATCGATTGGATATTTCTTCTTGGTTCCTGATAGAAAAATTTCAGTTATTTTTGGAGCAAATATCTGAGTGGTCCATCTGACACGTATAGCCAAATGAAACCTATATTTTTATTAGGAAGATCTAGAGATATGAATAATTGAATATTTCTCCCCCTCTTTCAATCTACATACAGTATTTGACAGGATATCGATCATTAAAACATTGTTATAATAAAATCAAAAATTGATAATAACGTTGTGTTGAAGAACATCTGTTTGCTGATTGTCCGCCTATTCAGCATTGCGGATAGATTCAAGGTTAGGTGAACTATTTTTGTTTAATGTTTTGTTTTGTGGATTATTTTCGCATATGTTGGATAAAGACGATTCATCATTATCATAATTATTATTCTACGTTCTCTCACATTTATATCAGACTATTTTTGCAGGACACCTATGGAAAAATATATGATACATTCTGGGATGAACAGCAGAGATATGAAATCTTCAAGGAAAACTTGAAGAAAATAGAAGAGCACAATGCCAAATATCACCATGGACAAGAAACTCACCATATCGGAATTACCCAGTTTGCCGATATTACACATGAGGAATTCAGAAAGATTCTTGGTCGGCAGAGAAGAAGTAAACCAGCTGCATCAGCTGCAATACTCGAAACAACATGGATTGAAGCAACAACTAAAAAAATACCCGATGAATGGGACTGGAGACACGAAGGAGCTGTATTGGATATCAAAGATCAAGCAAATTGTGGGTCCTGCTGGGCTTTCAGTGCTGTGAGTACTGTGGAAGATTTTATCCGCTCTAAGAAAAACATCCTGGGGGATGCATTTCTAGGCGAATATAGTCCAAGAAAACGCCCCCTCTCTACACCACATCTCATAAAAATAATATCGAATATCTATGTCACTGTGTTTCGCTATTTTATGTTATTGAAGTAGCAGTCTCAACCATATCGCATTTTGTGCACCAAGAGGTAATGTCATGTATTCGGCATCTGTTGTTGACATGCACTAAAATGCATCAACCAAATCAAAGACTTCGTTCAAACCATATTTATTGGATTCAATGGATCTTATGCTATTTCAGATAAATAATTATTCGCCCTGAAACTATGAGCGAACAAATACACATAGATTATTTTTGCTAAGTTTTTTTTCTCTACTAGCATGATATAAATTTTCCACTTATTATACACTTGCATAAATTGATTTCCATAAGACTAATTCCGAACAAATATGAATCCATTTACTGTCAACAGGTTGTATTCGCTAAGGAGGCACCAATTAGAATTGAATAGATTGTCTATTTGGTCTGGGATCATCATCAATTTCTCACTCATTAACCTTGCTGTGATGAATATGAATGTACTTACCACTAATTGCTAGCCTATTCAATCCTTGGAGATGCGCATGAGCTATACAAATTCTCACCTGATTAGTCTTGTTTGGCTAGTTTGATGCAATCATTCACGACTAGCGAATGTTGATGCCACCTCCGGGTTGGCGATTTTCAATCGGAAAAATTGGTCTACGATAATGATCCACGAATCTACGATCCTTTTTTTCAAAAATTCCAGTGTAAACATATAGCTGCTGATATCTGCACAACGACAAAACAACGAATTATTCACATCGCTACATAACTTTTTTAGACCATTGTGGAGGAACTTATTTCCGAATTCTTAAATGTTCTCAATCTCTCAACTTTATGGTCCCCAATCGAGCGAACATCCTCGAAATAATTTATTGCTGAATGTTCAACAATAACTTTGTTTTATCTCTTGGAGCGCACGAAAGAAAATTCCCATTGTGTTCGTGGAACATCGTGCGTACCTAGGGAGGATAGAGGGAGGCCTTTCAAGCCAGTTCAACTTAATTTTTTATATCAAACTAAGCATATTTTTACTTTAGAACTAAATATTTTGAGGTTTGCAGAAAAAATGTTGTTTGCAACTCGAGCTCGAAATACTTTGGTTATCTCGACTATTTTTTCATCTCGGCTACGCCTCGTTAAAAAAATAAGATCTCGATCACCAAAGTAGCATTTCGCGCTCTAGATACAAAAATAACTATTTTGTTGTATTATGCACTCAAAAATACAGCACTGAATGCATATTTTTCATTTCTATCTTCAGATCTTGGATTAGGACACTTTGACATAAAAGGCTCGGTTTGTTCACATTCATAACATGCTATTTTGCTTCTATCCCTTTATTGTATATCTTCATGAGAATTTTTCACATTGCTTCTCTTGTTACTGGCGCCACCTGTTGACTTCTTTCTGAAGTTAGATCCCTTCACGGCAAAGGCACCTGCTTCACTACCGCTGGAACCACCTGTTTCCATATCGAGCAACTTGCTTCTTATGACATCTGTTATAATACAAATTCCTGCATGCTCGATAGCCATTAACACTGGAGAGTATTTGTCTGGCAGCCCTGTCAACAACGATGAGCTGATTCATTCTTCTGTTATATTGAAACCAGTTTTCCTCAATTTTTGACCCGTTTCGATTACCTGGTTGACGCAACTCTCCATAGAATCAGAACTATTCAATCTCAAGGATATGAGAGTTCTCGACAAACCTATTTTTCTTGAGATACCTGTGTCTGCATTGAGATCTCTAATTTTCTCCCAAACGTCTTCACAAGTGTCTGCATCTTCAATATGTACAAATAAAGACTGATTGATGGTCAACATTAGTTTTGCTTTTGCCTTGGCAATCACTGTCGCATCACTTTCATCACCATCTTTACTTTCATAGTCCTCCAAGAACAAAATAGTTCTCGACGGCGAACGACCATTCGTCTTAGTTTTCCTGCCCGAGAAGCTTCGGAATACTGTTCAAGTAATTAACGACGGACATTTTCGCACGAAACTGAACAAACTGCGTGATTTACTATCTGAACAACTCTCTTGTCACGTTAAACTCTTCGGCAACAGAAAATGAACTAACTTCATTCACGACAGTGTTACAGGAAAACGATTGATTGAAGTCAACGCCATCTGATAGAGAATATGTCAATTCGTTGTTTGGAAACAGAAAACATAGAGTGAGTTAGATACATAAAACATAAATATTTCGAACTTTACAACAAATACACAATGACTTACCTCAGATTACTTGAATTCATGAGATGTTGAGAATGTTTCGAACTAATTGTCCATAAAATTGTTTTTCAAGATAATAGAGTCAATCTGGTTCTTCTTTGAGTGAACCATCTAGCCACGAGAATTGTTAGATGAATTTCGTTTCTGGATTTCATCATTTTTTATTTGAGATACCCATTTTCAGTCTAGAATGTTTGATTATGATAATGATGTTAATAAACGCTTTCATTGATAGATAACAGATAACAGGACATATCAAGAAAAATTAATGATGAAAAAAAGATTAAATTAAATATTTATCAAGAGGCAGAGTTAGCTCTCAAACGTTCCTGAGAGAAATGAAAAAGTACTTTCTTTCACTCAACGGTGAGCCTGATTTCTCCCCTCATCTTTTGTATCAATTCTTCTTCATCTTCAGAAAGTAAGACTTCATTATAATTCTGCGGAGTCTCAATTTTGATCACTTAAGAATGAAATACTAATAATGATATTCATCTCAGACAGGTGCAATGGAAGGTCAGAATGCTATCCATCATAAAATAAGGATTCCGCTAAGTGAACAGCAACTTCTGGACTGCTCCGGAGAATATGGCAACGGAGACTGCATTGCTGGAGGCGACGAGAAAGCATCTTTCGCTTATGTCAAAGATCATGGGATCGAAACAGAGGCTCAGTATCCTTACACCGGAAACAAAACAAAATGCATGTTCGATGAGAGCAAAACTCTCTTGAATATCAAAGGATATAAAGAATTGCCAGGAAATGAGGAAGCACTCAAACAAGCCATAGGTAAGTTGTTCGCATCGAAATGAACCTGGAATTGAGGATTTCTTCCTTACTTTCAATGCATCCTTGTGGCTAGATTTGCTTAATCTTTTTCAATATGGTGGACTGTATTACTTATGATATGAATGTTGAATATTTGAATGAATGCATGAATGTTGTTGTAAAGTGCATTTATAACATATACCTATTTCTTTGTAATCGCTATGATGTTTTTGAATATAATAATTGTATAGGTTGATACCCTGTGTGTTTCGCAATAATGATTAGCTGTCAGGTATTGCCTAAACATTTTTTTGTTAATATTTTGAATAATGTATTTTGCTGATGGTCATTTCATGAAGTTCGTTGCCTTGTTCCAATTTATTGAGTTCAAATAGATACATGATTTTGGTAACGTTGGCATGTCAACGAACTTCGGGAAAAAACGACGGACTAAGGTTTTTGAATGAAGACCGCGATTTGATCGAGGATTACAATTCCAACCACGAATCCGAACGGTTGTCTGATATACGGTCATCCTGAATAAACGACTCTGAGCAATTCGTTGTTTTTATCCAAACATCCCAACAAATTTTGGTGGCAGCGGTGGGATGCTGGATTAAGATACTGAATACTGTAGTGAATTTGCAAGGATACCGAGAACACATTCGAAGCTGTCGGTGGTTTGACGGAAAAACCAAAGCCCGATTATAGTGCAACAGAAGTGCTTCACCTCGACAACCTGGTTAAGAGGTAACGGATCCAACGTTCAACCAGTCATCAGTCATCTCAGACGAACAGGAAACTTTGGAAGAAGAGTATATATTCGGGAGGCCAGTCAGGATCAGATAGCCACTTTCAAGACCCTAAGCAGTGCTAGAGGACAACTGCAAGCGACATCAATCACAGAAGACATCAGGCTGGAAAACAGGAGACCAGATAAGACATCAAGTTAGAAGACATCAGGCCGAAAAACAGGACCAGACGACATCAGGTTAGAGGACATCTCGGAAGATCATCTTCTTTGTAGAAAATAGTATAAAGTAAGCGATTTTTTTTTACTCAAAAGTGTACGAATTTTGATATTGACTATATTCACGATCATAACATCGGTATGGTTTTCCAAGTTGATTTGGCTCTCAAAATGATTCCCGAATTTCGAGGGAATAGGGATGATTTACACAAATTTGTCTCTTGTTGTGATGTCATGTCCGAAACGGCAAGAACTAGGGAGGAAATAATTCAATTGTTAAACGTCATCAAGTGTAAACTCTCTGGGCAGGCATACAATTTCATTAAGTACAAAACGATAAATGCATGGGCCGATTTAAGAATTATCTTGCAAGACCAGTATTTAGAAAAACGCACTATAGGTCAACTTCAAATAGAACTACTCAATGCTAGGCAAAATTCTTCTGAGAGTGTGAGAGATTTTGCAAATAAAATAGAGAGACTTTCATTAGACCTAACGGACGCATGCATAGCCAGCGAAGGCGATGCTGCTGCTCCAGCAATTCAAAATTTAAACTCTAAATCAGCTCTTAAAGCCTTTGTCGAGGGACTAAGAGACCCAATAAAGTTGATCATTAAAGCATCTCGATTCGAGGAGCTCAATGTTGCCATCGAAGCGGCATGCGAAGAGGAAAGGAATTTAACAACTCGAATAGCCAACCAAAAAAATCAAAGTCATCCTCCTAGAAAATGTTTCAAATGTGGAAAAGCGAATCACACATCTGCGAATTGCTTTTCAAACAATATTCCGTTCTCTTCACATCAACCTTCGAATTTTAGGCCTAAAAATAACTTTCCAAACAATTCTTACATCAGGACAGAAAATATCCATCAGGTGTCAAATGAATGTCGTTATTGCCACAATATAGGGCATACAATTGAACAATGTCGAAAACGTCAATATAATAATTCCAGATTCAAATCCAATAATAATCAACCTGCAAGAAATTTCTCAACAAATTCTCAAAATAGGTATTCACCTGCACAAAGTCAGCCATTTTCCAATCGATATGATAATACAAATTCACGATCAAATTCCGGAAACACAACTATGACTAGATCCGCGCAAAATTCGGGAAACTTCCAGGGCCCAACGGCGAGCGGCAGCACTGTCAGGGTCCGCGAAATGCAATCTGCCGACAACTAGAGAAAACTCGAATTCATAACGTTTCACATGATGCCGAAATGAATCGTCATTATCTTTCAAACAAAGATAATAATATATCTTCCAGTTTTCAAGATTCTCCTTCTATTTCCAGTAGCTCAAATACCACATCAACACTTACTATCTACCATGATTCGATACAAAATAATCACGATTCTGTGCTAGTAACTAATTCAGATCAAGAAAAAAGCATAGAATATTCAGATTCTATATCCCGTCAGTCAAACAAATCCTGTTTCAATATCCCAAATCACGAATATCCTATTTCTCCCTTATCCAATAATGTCAGCAAATCCGAAGATTCAAAATCACGTCCTCCTGACCTATATCATAATTTTGCTGATTCGAATGATTGCAATAGAGAAACAAGTATCTATACAGTAAATATGAACTTGAATTCTTCATGTGTCAAATTACCACTGAATCTGTCAATTACTGGTTACGCAAATATGTTAGTCGATACGGGAAGCGACGTCACTATTCTCAAACTACGACAGACAGACGGAGATGCGTTAATATATCCAGATAAAAAGGCGCGTTTGAAAGGTATTACCGAACAATGTGTTCTATCTTATGGTGTTTGTTATGGTGAAATCAAACTTGCCGATCATATTGCCATTTCCCATGAAATTCAAATAGTGCCCAATAATTTTCCAATTTCCTATGATGGCATTCTAGGACAGGATTTTCTATCACAATTTAAGGCTATCATAGATTATGAAGCGTCAACAATATCTATTCCATTACACGGAAACTTGTTTACATTGCAAATGACTCATCCACTCACAAATGTTATCGAAGTTCCTGCTAGGTCAGAAATAATTAAAATAGTACAAGTAAATTGCATAGAACCCAGAATCTGTTTTCAAAAAGAAATAAAACCCGGTGTATTCATAGGAAATTGCATAATCGAAGGAACAAAGTCAAATATTAGTATTTTGAATGCCACTGAAAAAAGCGTGTATTTGGATCAGTCAGACATTGACAAAATCGACTCTGATAACTTGAATAATTACCACGTCTTACATTTTCTCAATTCGAATGATAAAAAAAGGTTGTCCCTTTTGGAAAAGGAAATAAGAACCGATCACTTGAACTCTGAGGAGCGAGATAGCATTTTGGAAATTGTCCGCGAATTCAACGATATTTTTTTTTTAAAAGACGATAAACTGACTTATACAGATGCCGTTCGTCATTCCATACCCCTAACCTCTAAGAAACCAGTTTTTGTTAAACCTTATCGAATTCCCGAATTCCAAAAACAAGACGTCCGAAATGAGATCAGTAAAATGTTGGATAATGACATAATTGAAAATAGCAATTCCCCCTACAATAGCCCGATACTCATTGTACCAAAAAAACCTGATAGTAAAGGAAATAAACGGTATAGATTGGTTGTAGATTTCCGAAAACTTAATGATCTTACAGAAGCGGATGCCTATCCCTTGCCTAATATAACAGAAATCTTAGATCAGTTGGGAAAATCAAAATACTTTTCAGTTGTAGATTTAGCTCAAGGATTCCACCAAATATTACTCAGTGACGAATCCAAACAATGTACCGCATTTTCTTTCGAGGGACATTATCAATACAAACGGTTAGCCATGGGTCTGAGAGGTTCGCCCGCAACGTTTCAACGTCTTATCAATAATGTGCTCATAGGACTCACAGGCTTGAAATGCTTCGTATATTTAGATGACATAGTGATCTACGGATGTTCTTTAGAATCCCACAATTCAAAATTAATTGACGTTCTGTCACGGTTGCGCAAGCACAACCTAAAGTTGCAGCCAGACAAGTGTGAATTCCTTCGGAAGGAAATCACTTATTTGGGTCATGTAATTTCTGAGGAAGGTATAAGGCCCGACATGGGAAAAATCGAGGTAGTAAAAAATTTCAAGAAACCTCGTAACCAGAAGGAGGTGAAATCATTTCTTGGTTTAGCTTCTTATTATCGCAGGTTTATTGAGAACTTCGCAGAAATTGCCCATCCTCTGAATAAATTACTCAAGAAAGACGCAAAATTTGAATGGTCCTCACTTTGTGACGAATCTTTTGCTACACTAAAAGAGAAATTGATAAGTCCACCAATCCTCATTTATCCTGATTTTCAAAAAACTTTCATCCTCACAACCGATGCATCTCAATATGCAATCTCAGGAATTCTGAGTCAAGGGGAAATCGGGTATGACCTACCCATTGCGTATGCGTCGAGAATACTAAATAAAGCTGAGCAGAACTACAGTACGATAGAGAGAGAACTTCTAGCTATTGTCTGGAGTTGCCAGCATTTTCGGCCCTATCTCTACGGACGCAAATTCGATATTTTCACTGATCACAAACCACTAATTTATCTATTCTCTATATCAAACCCGTCAAGCCGACTTATGCGTTTGCGATTGAAGTTGGAAGAATTTGAATTCAACATAACCCATAAGCCCGGTCGTTTCAATACAAATGCAGATGCCTTAAGTAGAATTTACAAAGTCCAGACTCGTTCAAACACGGAAAGACATACATCTACACCCTACAACGACTTCTTAAAAATAATTGAAAGACAAATAATTAACAATCCGAATATCGAAGAAACTGAAGAGGATTTGGATAGTTGTCCTAGTGATTACAGTGTAATTTATTTTTCGGATCAAACATTCTCACTGCCAAATGAGTACCAAGATAGTTTATATGAACTGAAGGCACAGGAAAGAAAACTGCATCAAATTGCATATTTACAGCTTGACGATAGATTTATGCTTTATCTTATTACAAAACCCGACATAACACACAAAACTGACTATGAAGACATTTTTTCATGTTTATCAAACTTAAGATATTTCTGTGAAGCTCA